GGGGGGGAGAACAGGGAGGAGCGGGCGGAGGGATTAAGAGAAATGCAATCTGTATTATGCCGCGAAAGGGGGGCAATAAAGGCTTAGCCGCTCGTATATTTACCCGCTGCACTTTTTTTTTTAAACTGAGATGAAGATTATTATTATTTTTTAAGCGTTAGGGAGTCTCCAGTTGTCGGAGATACTCAGACTGCTACTGTCTATAAATGGCTTCTACGTCCCCCTTCTTTAATGTTTCCTTCTCGGGTGTTCAGGGAAACAGGAGTGTAGCCATCACAAATGGACGACCGCCCCGATCCTAAGCGTGTTGACTTAGAATGTCCCGCTGAACCCAGCGAGACTTGCTTAGGATCAAGGGCGTTTGAACTTGCCTACCTCGGTAGTATCTTTTTCAACGACAACACAATTCTCCTTGAACGATTGCAGTAATGGGGGTCTTCTTCTACCGCTAGCACTACTACTGCTAGTAGGACTGCTACGTGTTGAAAAGCGTCCCCCACCATCCTGTCTCTGTAAATCTGGGTTGCTCGCTCAATTAAGTCATCATGAAAGGCCTGTATGGTCCGATACCCCAGTCCCTAGAATCAAAATTGCTGAATCTAAAAGTAATTTAAGCTTTATACCCGCTTATAAGACTGGAAACCTCGCATATGCCGAATTCCATGGACTTAACCGCTTTCTTCAGAGGTTTTGCCCTAACTGGGTTGTGGATCGTGCTGATTTTGCTAGTTGGTAATTCCAGTGACTTTGGGGGAAGCTATTCGTGTCTGGGTCTCAACCGAATAGCCTTGCAATTTTATCCAGTGTCAAGGCGACGTTGCTACAATGCAAAGCTGAACCTATAAGCGAAGTGTAAAGAGCGGAGGTCCAGTTATCTTCGGCCGCATTACATCGCCTTAAATTTTAGGACTGTAGTAGCGCAACATCGCCACGTCTCTGATATGTATCAAGCGGCGATCTCCTTATAGGCAGGAACGAGAGCGACAATCTAGTGGGAGAAGTTCTCCCCCTACACATTTGCTCAGCCCCGGTTCACTTCGGTGGGACTTGCTCAGAATATCTGCTTTGTGGGCAATGCCGTGTAATAAACTTCCTCTAGATAGACTTCCTCTAAGGAAAACAAATCATACCCCGAACGCCGAGGTTGAAGAGGCACGGAATTTCTCTGTTTGTTGATACATCTGTGAAAAGAGATCCAAAGCATATTTATCAGACCCTCCCCCCTTTATGTAACAAAATTGGTTCAGGTATGAAAACATGGAGTTCTTGCTTTGAAGTTCAGTTGTTTGGTTACAGATGCTCCCGAATTAAAGGGGAAATATCCTTAGCCGCTGCCTTTACAAAAAAAAAAAAGTTATTTTCATTTGTGCAGTACAAGGAGGAGAAGTAAATACGCCCTTTCAGTTGACTTAATAATAAAAGAAGGAATTTAACGTTCCTGTAAGAGATAAGCCCGTTGACTGTCTTGGAATGATCCTTAGATAAGGTCAGAAGGCAATGTGGACGGGGTAAACAAACCTGGCCGGTATATTTAATGTTACAGCTTATACTGCCGCAATGGGGGCGAAGAGATAATTTGGAGTAGAAAGAAAGAAAGAAAGAAAGAAAGAACCCCCTGTAGTGTTTAGATGTGTAAACCTATAAGCAATTACCATGAATAATCGCTGATGATAGCAATCCTAAATCGGACAGGGGTGGAGGGGAGGGGGGTGGAAGAGTGAGAGAAAGAGAGAGGCTGTTTTGACTGGAAGGGTCTAACTCCACAACAAGACACCCCCCCCCCCCGCATCGCTTCTCGTCCCCTAATAAGATGCACAAAGAGAAATTCCATAATCACAGACTGGTAAATCTACTAGCTGCTGGGAAGAACGTTACGTTTGCCGGACAGCGATGGAAGGAAGGATTTTCCTTCCCGTTGTTGTGTTTGGCTTTCTCCCCGGCCAGCCCACCGAGAAGACGTAATTGGGTCAAGACACCATTGATTTAAATATTGCATAATTTCATAGGCGGAAAAAAAATAGCATCTTTTAAACTCTCGGGATGCAAAGTTGCAACTACGTGCATTCGCTTCCTCCTCTTTCAACAAGTCTCTCTTTCCTTTAGGACTCCCGTTCCTGGATCTATGAAAAGTCATCCGCCTATTTGCCCGTTTGTACGCTTATTTGCTTATTCTTAATGCATTTGTATAACATCTAACTATATTATTCAAAAAGGCATAGAGGCATACAGAGAATATTGAGAGACTATGCCATTGGAATCAGCTGCGATGCTCCGACTGATGCGAATAGTCCGGAATTGCTTTAAGATGGTGTTGCACAACCTAGACACCTGTACATCAGCATTCATTTGGAGTGTATTCGATGCACATATTCTACGTATATTTATGGGATTCCCCCTCCCTTCTTCTTCTTCTTTTAAGACAGATTTGTCCAGCAGCTTCTGGGAAGCGGAGGCGATGGTTTTTGCAGCCACTCGCTCGCAACAGCGACCCCTTGTGTCGAAAAGCGGGACTCTCGCCTCCCGGTGTGGTGTAAGAAACCCCCCCCCCCCCCAGCCCAGTTATGGTGACCTTTAATTTTTCCATTTCTACAAACATAATTAAGCGCCCTAGACTAATGAGGTTCCCTCGTGGGCCACATGAATGAGAGGGTTTTACAGGCAGCAAAAAGAAGGGAAACTCGTATAAGTTTTATAAGACGCCCGATCATAATATAAAAATCGGCGGGGGTTCGAGATTTGAATAGATGGGGCTCTTTCTCCGCAGGTCCCTTGTGATCTCCCTCTCTCCCTCCCCCTTCCCCTCCCCTCCCCAAATGTCTGCATTCTTTTTGGCTTAACCAACCTCGAAGGGAGTATACAGCTAGGAGACTATTACTGATTTTTCCAGCCTATCCCGTTGTTCGGAAATTAGTGTCTGCTTCTAATTCGCCTCCCCCCCGCCAGCCAACCTTTCCTTTTTTGTTTAAATACTTCTCGGAGAGGGGAATAAAATTTAAGCTCGATGTGCAAGAACCTGTCTCCCCCCCCCCACCAAACCGGGGCGAGGAAGGAAAAAAAATGAGGGCTCGGATGAAGGGTGGGATTTGGTTCCCCTTCTTCGCTACCGATTTGTCTGTCTGCCAGAAGATGCCGCCGAAACTGGAGTTTTAAAGGCGAACCGCACACGGAACGCTACGTGAGCGAAACAGGTAAAAATTAATTCGGAGCAAAATCGCCTTGTTAATGCTTAGAAGACATCGGGGGAAAGATTAATGTGTGCATTTTTGGAGACACGGTGTAAAAATCTTTCTTTCTTTCTTTCTTTCTTTCTTTCTTTCTTTCTTTCTTTCTTTCTTTCTTTCTTTCTTTCTTTCTTTCTTTCTTTCTTTCTTTCTTTCTTTACTCGAGAGCGATAAACCACAAGCTGCTTACTCCGAAGTATTCCCATTGAAATCCATCTGGCTACTGCGGAGTAAAGAGAATGAAAGATTGCAGCTTTATTCTGCTACAGAAAAACAAACTCGTGACTTTCCTCACTCCCGGGGCCCGTGCATCGGTGCGGTAGGAGCGCGGGGCGCGCTTGCTGCGATTCTCTGCGATGGGGGGGGGAGGGGGGGAGGGAAAGGGGAGGTTAACCCTGTGGATTCCGCAGTCGCTTTCTGTCTACCTCGAGACCGCTCCAACTTGTAGAGGCATCCCTGATAACGGTTCCCTCTACAAGAAGGGTGGCTGTACTGCGGCTGCTGGAAAAGAGATTTTTTTTTTAAAGGGTGTATGTTTGTGTTTGGGTGTGGGGGGGGACTTTTATATCCTGACTGTGAGAAGGCCAGCCAGAGTGTCTGGAATGCGAAACAAAAGAAATAGAAGCAATTAGGGGGGGGGGGGACTTTCCAGAGACAGTTTTGCCTCCCGGTTCATGCTCTGAAAAACAACAAAAGGAGGATCAACATTTATTTCATGTCAAAAGCTGGCGTTTCGGTTCATCGCCGCCCTGAATCTGAAGCCAAGGCGTCATAAATCTCAAGTCGCCCTTAAAAACGAGGTTCGAATCCAAGTTCCCTTAAAGCTGGGGGAATTCGCTTCCAAGTAAATAGGTTTCGGTCGGATGGGAGGGCAGGAAAGGGCATTCTCTTCTAATTTTTCTTTATTTGCTTATTAAAACGCCGTGGTTACATTTTGTCTGTGAGCGGCGTTATTTTGATGCCTTGTATCGGGAAGCGTTTTTGAAGGGTACCAAACGCCTGGGACTCTTTCCTTCCTTCATGGCTCCTTCTGCCTTAGAGTCCCAGTCGGACCCTGCTATTCTGTTGTTTGCCCCACCGTTTCAAAAGACGCCTTGGAAGAACTGGGGGGCACCCTCGGTCCTGCCAGGTCCACAGAACACTTCTGGGTAGGGCTTGGCGGCACCTTCAGTCCAGAGAAGGTTCCTATCAAGTCCGTCTCCGGGCTGGCTTCGCCAATGCAAACCCGCAGAAGCAGAAATCA